CCGGAGAAAGCTTTCGCCCTCTCGACTCATCTTCTTTCGGTTTCGTTTTTTGAGCACATCGCGCACGTTGTTTAATAAATTAATGTTGAGTCGATTGAGCTTCAGCGGCAGCGAAGGCCGCCTATAATTCCGTCTTCTAGTCCAAACGTGTAGAACATTTCGGTTGCATTGACGTTTTTACCACTAATTTTATCAAACGAGCTAACGAAGCCGCTAGAAGCAGCGAAGTTCCGGAGCAGTGCCAGCAGCGCTACATATACTGGGTAAGACGGCCGCAGGGGGGTAAAGGTGGGTGAGGAGGAGTGGCAAATACCGTGCGCCGACACCCGGGGTCCCGAGTGAAAGATCGCAAAAGAGAGCGACAGAACACGAGAGAAAGAAAGCAACGTTGCCAGCTGAAGGACAGCAGTCGCAATGGTAAACGCGAAGAGAGAAAACTCTCAGCAATATAAACAGTGATAATTTAATGTTGTAAACTAAATTCTGAGCTATTCTAACGCTTATAAAAAGCAATAAAGTCATTACGCTGCATTAACTTCCCTTCTGTCGAAATCTCGGAAATCTGGTAGTTGCGTAGTTTCGTATTCCTCAACCGCGCCCACCCGCGCCCCACCGGCGAAGCCGGATATATGGTTTAGTTTAGCGTTAACGCGAGGCCGTGCATCTGGCGCTATGCAAAAAGAAAGCTTCGAAAGGAACGCGAATATTTTTCCACCGGTAAGTTCGTGGATTGTTGAAGTTCACAAAACTGCTCTGATGATGTAACCGTGTTTGGGACCCGCAGGGTCTGCCGGCATGCTCCGCCGCTTGCGGCAGCCAGAATGTATGGGAAAATGGCGGACCTTTTCCTCTAGAGGTAGCATGTATGATCTCTATGGACGGCCGGGACGGCCGTCTTCGATTTGCGGGACACACGCGGAACTACAGCAGCGAAACCACGAGGAACTGTGTCGACGTTTTCGACGTTATGGAAATCGCGGGAACTGCGTCCAAGGCAGACAGGTTTTCCTGCCGGCTGTCTGGATGCCTTTCGTGCTGAGTTCGGTTCTGTTGTCCCGTGCCGAGTGCCAACCGGCGTTCAACGTGGTTCTGCATTTCTGCGTGTCAGCAACATCGTCAACGTGGTTCTGTATTTCTGCGTGTCAGCGACATCGTGATGGCAGTGTTGTGGGTTGTGAACAGAAGACTGGAATTATCGCCGATGTGACCGTGTGTTCTCGTATCAGAGGTGTAACAAAAAGATGAGATGAAGACGTAAACTGGTCGGGCATTGATGCCGCTGGTCGGGCCGTGATCGGAGGGGGCAGGGTGTCACAGGATGACATTCCGCTTTACATTAAAGAGGTTAAAACCGCTTGAGGAATTAGGTGCAGTCGATCGACGTGTGAATAGTCATGTTGGAACGCTGGTCTGAACGGTAAGCTCCTATCGTACAGTGGCCAATGTGACTGTCGGTCCCCGAGAGCGATTGCGCTCTGGGAAAAAGACCGAACAGTACGAAAGTATGACGGAAATTACGTATATTTACAATGGAAGTTTAGCATAAAAAAAACAGGTAAAATCGAGAAAAAAAATCGCTATCCTTTATTTTACTGTTTAAATATATTACGGTTCCTGTAGAAACTACCCTCCAAGTGGCGCGCTGGGATGGGCGCTAGAAGTTTTCGAGCTCGCAACGGCGTAGCTCCGTACACTTAAAGGGACACTGACACCCCCCAAAATTTTTTTTAATATTTTGCCAGGCGCTTCATTATGGTGTCGGAGGACTACCCAATTAATTTTTTGCAACAGAGTAGCGTATTTTTTTAATAAAGCCAGAAGACGCAACTGCTCGAAACCGAAACCGAAACCCGACGGAGGTCGGAGAAGTGGAAAGAAGAGAGCGAGTGGCGGAAGTCACGTGGCTACACCCGACCGTGTGTTTTTTTTTGTTTTTTTTTCTCCTTCCCGGTAGCAGACGACATGCGGCGTACGGGAACTGTTCGCCCTGGGATTCTTTCGCAGTTATGTATGTTCCGCTCGTTGTTCTGTACTCCAAGATGAGTTGTTTTGTATATTGAGGAGTTGGAGATGAGTAGTGAGTGCCCGTGGTGAGTTTTGATCGGCTCCGGAAAGAATACACCCAAGATGTTGCGTGAAGAGCTGGCTCACATGTCCTGCATCCGAAAAAAAGTGGCATTGTGCGACAGAGTTTCCGAAAGATCAACGGGATCGGGACCAATGGCTGGCTGCAATTCCTGTAGACCATTTACGGGCACCTCGGAAAGCGGACGCTACCTGATTTATATGCTCCTTGCATTTTGTGGAAAGTGATTACATTGAGCTGGCAGGTGTCAAAAAGGAAATCCCATACCATTTAATTCAGCGACGTGTCGTCCACAACATTTGTTTCTTTTTTTTGTTTCTTCAGTGATAATTTTAAAAAAAAGAAAGGAAATGTAGACATAAAAAAACATGAAAAATGAAAGCCGTTTACAACTCCCTGTAACACCGAATTGGAGCGCAGCTCTTGAGGAGGAGGAGTGAAGGGTACTGAGGGTTATCTGTTCTCGGGGCGGGGGGGGGGGAGGGGGGGGGGGGGGTGTCGCGTGACCTCGGGGGGGAAAGGGGGGTTCATGTGACTTTGGGGGGTCAGGTGACCCCTCAGAAAAATGTTTCCGCTAGATTTAGCGGGGAAATCTTTCCGCTAGATTCAGCGGGGAAATTTTTCCGCTAGATTTAGCGGGAAATTTTTCCCGCTAGATTTAGCGGAGAAATTTTTCCGCTAGATTTAGCGGGTAAATTTTTCCGCTAGATTTAGCGGGGAAATTTTTCCGCTAGATTTAGCGGGAAACTTTTCCCGCTAGATTTAGCGGGGAAATTTTTCCGCTAGATTTAGCGGGGAAATTTTTCGCTAGATTTAGCGGGGAATTTTTCCCGCTAGATGCGCGGAGAAATTTTTCCGCTAGATTTAGCGGGAAAATTTTTCCGCTAGATTTAGCGGGGAAATTTTTCCGCTATTTTGCGGGGAAATTTTTCCGCTAGATTTAGCGGGGAATTTTTCCCGCTAGATTTAGCGGAGAAATTTTTCCGCTAGATTTAGCGGGGAATTTTTCCCGCTAATAGCGGGGAAATTTTTCCGCTAGATTTAGCGGGGAAATTTTTCCGCTAGATTTAGCGGGGAAATTTTTCCGCTAGATTTAGCGGGGAAATTTTTCCGCTAGATTTAGCGGGGAATTTTTCCCGCTAGATTTAGCGGAGAAATTTTTCCGCTAGATTTAGCGGGGAATTTTTCCCGCTAATAGGGAGTTTTCGTAGATCGTTTTCGCCGCCCCGCAAGGCGCTCCGCAACCCGCTACGATAGCGGGAACTCCACAGTCAAGGCTATCGGCGCGCAGGCGCAGTAGCAACTTCGTCGTTGCGGAACGCTTAGCGGAGGGGGCAGCGCGGTCTACGAAAACTCCCTAATAGCGGGGAAATTTTTGCGCTAGATTTAGCGGGGAATATTTTCCGCCAGATTTAGCGGGAAAATTTTTCCGCCAGATTTAGCGGGGAATTCTACCCATAATGCACCGCGCGGTTACGCCGACGGCGACGCCGACGGCGACGCCGCTCAAGCCGGAAACGGGCCCCTAAGAGCTGCGCTCTAAAAAAAAAAAGTTCCACGGGGGATCGAACCCGATCCTACGGCGTGTAAAGCGGGCGTCTTTCCTACTAAGCTACTGGGGCATAGCAAAACTAGGGGATCTCTTTCCTTAGTAATAATCTAGCCGATAAACTAAGTTGGAAAGTTTGCTACCGATTTTCCTTCAGCAAAAGCACTCCCGGGTCGAAGTCGGGATGCACCCCGCATTGGCGACATTCTCACCTTATAAAGAAATCGTACGCGTGCATATTCAACTCGAAGTAGACACGTCGTGCTTGACGTTTGCGCGAGCGATGTCTTCAGCCACGAGAAGGGAGCGACGGCTCGGCGACGTCTTCGTGCAAATCGGGTTGGTGGTCGGGCGTGTCGTACGGGATGAAGACCAATTCTTTTGATCAGTCCCAAATTTCTCTTTTAAAGGCAGACAAAATTCTCCGGTACCGCGAACGACAGTTCTGAAATAGAGGTCCCACGCCCGTCGTCCGCTGCCATCGCGTCCCTGCGAGTCCCACGATACGCGAAACGACGCACGCACAGAATGCTTCCGGTTGTCTGTGAAACTTTTTTTTTCAATCAACGTATTTGCAGCTTTTTAGAAGCCACAAAAAATGGGTTTCATATTTTTTTCTATTTTTAATATTGAGTGTGTGCCTTCAGTGACCCACGACTTTGATTAAATTTGGTGGTCGCATCGATACCTTAGAAAACGGCCCGTGACCGCGGAAAAGAGAGTGAGCGAGACTCGAACCGGCCAGTTCTTGATCGGCGGTTTTCGGGCGGAAAGAAACCGAATTTCGAGCAGCAAATTCTGTTCTGGGTAGTTGAGCTCTCATATGTCACGTACAACTAAAAACCTCGGCGAGCATAAATATCCTGTCAGTGTCCCTTTAACAGTTGCCGCAAGTCGCGGCTTTGGCTGCATTCAAGTTGATCGAAAAGCGATTTCTCTGCCGGTGAAGCATCGCTTCCAGCTGAGTGAATATCCGCTTTACAAGGATTAATTCAAGACGGCAACTGCAGCCGTGCGCGAACAGCACAAATAGGAAAACAAACACTTCAATATAAATACTGGCTACGAAGAGCCGTGCGGGAAAACAAACTCATGGCTTGGAACCACATTGGAGCACCTCGATTTGTTGGCTTTCAAATAATTACGGGATGATCGAGCGTTTTCTTTTTAATAAGAGATTCATCCCCTGAGCCATTAAAAATATTCTCAGATCTATGACATATTGCTGGAAAAAAATGAACATGTTCGGAATATTTTTTATTGCTTAGGGAGTCAACGGAAAATTCCGTACGTTCAAAACGACCAGTATAAAAGACGGAAACGCAGGGCTCGGGAGTAGTGAGCGCATTCTATTGCCGGCGCTCGTCGGGTGCGGACGATAGGATGAGTAGCTCCCACGGAGCGGTGATAACGGCCTTCGCGGGCCGCGGTTCTTCGGCTGCTGATAACTACCGCATAATCCTGCCCCCTCTGCCTTCTGGAATAGTCACGACGAACTCTTTATTTTTACACTGCGACGTAACCGGACGACCATACCGTATTGACGACTTTCGAGAAGAATTACAGCGACTGCAAGTACTCGGCGATGTGGCCTCATTTGGTGCTTATCAAATGAACCACGTTTGGATGGTCGCCTTCCAGTCTACAACAGCAAAGGACCAACTGCTTGCGGCCAAGGAGCTCACCATCAAAGGCAAGCGCTGTCTTCTCATTGACCCCCAAAACTCAGAACTCCGCATAAAGATTCACTGGGTTCCTTTTCTCGTGTCCGATGACACGGTGCGTCGAGCGCTAGAGCAGTACGGCCAAGTTCATGAAGTCACCCGCGAGACGTGGCGGGCCCAAGGTTTTCAGGGCATACAGTCGACGACAAGACTGGTTCGAATCACTCTGAAAGAGGGCGTCACAAAGGAAGACGTCCCTCACCAACTCCGGCTGTTCGGCGGCACAGCGCTCGTCCTAGTGCCCGGACGCGCCCCCTTATGTCTCCGGTGCAAAAAAACCGGGCATATTCGGAAGGACTGCAGAGTCCCTCGCTGTGAGGACTGCCATCGATATGGCCACACTAGGACAGATTGCGTTAGAACCTACGCAGCTGCAACAAGTGGACCACTCCTCGATGAAAACCTCGACATGCTGATGGACGAAAGGGAAGCGGAACAAGCAGCGAGCGCGGGCACCACCGAGTGCAACTCTCCCACGGAGTCACTGACCAGGGGCACGCCTGCGGTCATCCCCGGGTGTAACCCATCTGCGGCCCCGCTGACCAGCAGCATGCCCTCGGACACCACCGGGCGCAATCCTTCCGCGGCCCCGTCGTCCAGGGGCACGTTTGCGGCCTCAACGTCGACACCTTCCTCACAAGTCGAGCTTTCTGCGGACGCTACTACTGAGGGCCCACTAACTGGCGGTGACACAACGCCCGTTTTCCAGGCGGATGGCCGGGCGAACCAAGCGCAGGAGGCAGCGGTACCGGACACGGCAGGGCAGAACGAAGCGGAGATGGAGGTGGTTGCCACGGCTATCAAGCGACCTCTCGTCCAAGAGAACAGCGCTGAGGAAGAGGAGGACGGCACACCGACTTATTTACACTGTAAACTCGCCACAACCAGACGCGGACGCCTAAGAGCCCCGAAGCCCCGGCCTCCGCTAGAGGACCGGCACGAAAGGAACTCCTAGAAGGTGAACTGTTCCAACGCTTTCAGCGTCGTGCTGTGTGCAGACGCGTTTTGATGCGCGGGGTTTTGTTCTCTATTTTCTTTGGATCGCGACCATAATGAAACAGTTGAAATTAGTAACTTTAAATTGCGTTAGCCTGATAGCTCGAATAAGGAAACAATGGGTGTTAAACGCGCTGTTAAAAGAGAACGCAGACATCGTGTTTCTACAGGAAACGAAACTCTCCTCCGATTCTCAGGTGCAAGAATTGGCTCGATTCCTTGAGCGACATTTCAGTTTGTTTCATTCGAATGCTATCGCACAGAGTGGGGGGGCGGCTATCCTAGTTCGCAAAGATAGTGCTCTCGCCGTGCTTCCGGAGTGGGAAAGTGATAAGAGCGGTCGGGTGTGTGCAGTGGAACTGCTGTGTAATCGTGAGCTCTTTAAAGTTGTGTGTGTTCACGCCCCCAACACACCAGCAGATCGTAAGTCCTTCTTTATCAATCTACGACAATACTTGGACACATCGGCAAAGACGATACTAGCTGGTGACTTTAACTGTATTGTAAATTCGCGAGACTGCTCAAACGGGCTCCATTCTGATTCGAGCGTTGGAGAGCTTAAGAAGTTATTACGGGATTTTGACCTTCAAGATGTGACGGAAGTGGCGTCGGCGCCGTGGCCCGGCTATACCCATTGGCAGGGCAATTGTCACTCGCGCCTCGATCGTGTGTATGCGTCAAGCGAATGCGTAGCGACTGCGGAAGCATACAAGGTCAATGCCGTCGCTTTCTCGGACCATGCAATCGTTTCAGTGCGGGTGGGAAAAAGCAAACCTAAAGTAAAGAAAACATCAGGGTGGAGTTCTTGGAAAATGAACGAGAGCCTGCTAGAAGAGAAGCCGCTTGCTGCCAAAATAGAGGAAGTTCTACGCGAAACAAACAAGGCTGGCGTAGACGCTGTTAGGTGGGAACTCGTGAAGGAAGAGGTCAAATTAATCACCTTTCGGTATAGCCAGAAAAAGGCTGCTCAAACGCGGGCAGAAAAGCGCACCCTTGAATTAACTCTGAAAACTTTAATCGGTGAAGAAAGCCGAACCCCTGGCGTGTTCACTAGCGATATTCGCGAATGCAAGTCACGGCTCCTCTCGATTATGGAAGGTGAATATCGTGGTGCAATGGTGCGATGCCGGTTGCATGCGTTAGACACAGAAGAAAAGCCGGTTAAAATCTTTAAAACGAAAGAGCGCAATCACATTCGCCGAAATAAAATAACTTCTCTGCAAGTTGGGGAACAGGTTTTTTCAGAGCAGGACGACATCGAACGTGAACTCGTAGACACATTCACTAAGCTGTTGAGTGTGCAGAAAGAGGTAGATGAGACCACTCTAGAAAAATGTTTGGAAGCCATGCCGAAAATTCCTCCGGAGATTTCTGAGAAAATAAACGGGGAAATCACTGAAAAAGAAATAGGAGAAGCGATTAAAGAACTTAACACCAGAAAGTCGCCAGGTGTAGATGGGCTGGGTTCAGCATTTTATAAAAAGTTTTCAAGCCTTCTAATTCCAATACTCCGAAATGTGTATGCAGACATCTTAAAACGAAATTTGCTACCTCCATCAATGCGACAAGCAGTAACAGTTCTCATTCCCAAAAAAAATGCAGGCTCCAGCGTTACGAGCGCAGACAACCTTAGACCAATCAGCCTATTGACTTCAGATTACAAGATCCTCGCCAAAATTCTGACTAAACGCATTGAACAGGGTTTAAGCTGTATTGTGGGAAATCATCAACCTTACGGGTTTAAAGGTAGGTCGATCACAACATACTCCCACATAATGCGGACTATATGCGAAACGGCGGAGGCCGAACAACACCCCATTGCAGTGCTCCAGGTCGATCTTAGTAAGGCCTTCGATAGGGTGTCACACTCGTTTCTCTTTACACTTCTGGAACGATGCAGTCTTGGAGGGACGCTAACAAAGTATATTAAGATTTGCTACAGGGAAATCACTACTCGCTTATTAGTTAACGGGAACCAAACTACTCCTATAAAGGTAAAATCATCAGTAAGTCAAGGATGCCCAATGTCGCCGCTGCTCTTTGCGTTATATTTAGAACCTCTATGTAAAATAATTATGGCCGACGAGAGCATTCAGGGCGTGAATCTTGGCACCGGCCCAACTAAAATTCTAGCCTATGCCGATGATGTTGCAATTGTATGTTCGTCTAAGCGAGAACTGGAGCTTGCAGTAAAACATTTATCGGATTTCTCCAACGCATCAGGGGCAGTCATGAATATGTCCAAATCGACTGGGGCTTGGCTCGGCCCATGGATCACAAAACCCGAGAGGTATTTGGGCATGAATTGGTCGTGTTCAGTCTCTAAATATCTCGGAATTGAACTCGAAACTTTATCACTCAGCACCGGCCGAGAGGGCATTCATTTAAATAAGGTTCACGGAAAAATGAGCGAATGGCACGGAAGGTACCTTTCGTTCTTTAACAGGTCTTTTGTTTGTAACTGTATTCTTTTCGAGTGTATGGTATGCGGCACAGGTTGTGCCGTCCCGTCAAGTAGATATCCACAAGTTTCACAGGATTTGTGCAACATTTATCTGGCAATCTTTGTTTGAACGGATGCGCAGAACTAATTTGTTTCTTAGCCTTTCCAAAGGAGGTATGGGACTCGTTAACTTAGAACTAAAGATAAAAGTAAATCGTTTTCTGTTTTTTCGGGACCAAATCCACCCGGTTCTGGCGAGATCCTTAAAGTGCCTAGGGGGACGATACCTGTCGGCCTGGCAAGTTAGTACGGAAGAAGCCTCCAGAAGGGCTCCCGTACTTAGGTTTTACAAAGAGATTGAAGACGCCATTACTTTTTTTCAATCACGTTTTTCTTGGGACTACTTAATCCAGGCGAATAGGAAAAAGCTGTATTGGGACACTATCGACCTGGTAATACCGCCACCAATGTATCGCTCTCCGCCGGAAAGCGTAGAAGGGTCTACAGTGTTTAAAAAACTGCGTAAATACCCGGTAAAAACATGCATAAAAGACTTCTTCGTAAAATTTCATACAGAAGTGTTGCCTGTTAAGACGTGGCTCGAGAACAAAGGGTTTCTTTTGGCGGGGTCTGTCAATTGTGCTTTATGTCCTTTCCAGGAGACTTTGCACCATGTATTCCTGTACTGCACAAATGCTGAAATATTCTGGTCGGAACTCCGTCATGCACTTAACCTTGATGAGGCCCAGCCGGATTGGGGCACTCTAAAATTTCTCCGTGTTGCAGCTGGTGTAAACCAAAAGTGCGTAGAAGTGTTATTTCTGCTCGGGATGCATGCGATTTGGAGATCCCGTACGGATCACACGCTCGTTGAAGAAAAAGGCAAGCCTGCTTGGAGCCATTTCGTCGAAGGCTTTTCCTACACTAGTAACCTGTTAGAGCAAACGTGCATGCCCGGCTTCGAGCAGAGGTCCGTTCTGCAAGCACGTTTAAAAAACTACATGGTGAAAAGAGACAAGTTCATAAATAGAAATTGTATAATGCTCAACTGATCCTATGAAAATTTGATTGGGTGGGTTTCTATACATGTGTGGCTTCGGCAATGGCCAAGAAGGCCAGCTTTTAACTCTGTAAATAAAAACGTTTTTTTAAATAAATAAATAAAAAAAAAAAAAAAGGCTCGGGAGTAGTGAGCGACGTAGGGTGCTGTTGCATTGATGTTTGTATGTGCGATGCCTGTGTATGCGCTCAATATATGTTCACCTGATGCTTGTAGTGTGCGTAACGTGTCTACATGTGTTAGAGATTCCAGAAGAAAAGGAAACGTAATTGTGGCTTAAGAAAAAGAAATGTTTTTTTTGTTTTTTTTAAACATGAATTGGGCGGTACCTAGCGCCACCTAGCCCAGCTACTTGGGATTACTCTGCTTGACCCTGCCATCTGGTGGCAAGCGATTTAACATCCTTTTACGCTACACGGCTACGCCATAATTTCGTGTTACCGGGCTGAGATAAGCCAAGAGGTTGCTTCGGATTTGCTTTTTTTTTAGAGCGGCTTTTGGTTTTGCGGGCGAATGATTTTCACTCCTCCGTGATGTGCGGTTGACGCAATGGTTGACGAAGGAATTGTGGCTCGAGGAATAGCAAAGGTAAGACATAAAGTGCGCGATCTGGGTGCCGGTTGTCTCCGTGAACATCGCAGTGCTGACGATGAGAAGACTGAGTGACTGCGTGCTTTCGAAACGTAAGTTTCTTTACCTGCAGGGGTAAAGAAACTTCAGAAATAAATACAGTTCGCGGAAAGCTCGTGTTACGTTTTTATTTGCTGCTCCTCTCCCTTCGTACAATAGACTTAGTGTTCTCGTTAAGCCTTATCGAGCTCGATTTGCTCGATTCGTGGCCGCCATAATGTGATGCAGTCGACGGAGGAACTTTTGCTCCCCTACTTAAGGGACGAAGGTTTCTCCCTTTCTGAAGGAACATATATGTCAAGAGCGTTCCTCCCTTTAGGGAGGACTATACTGACCCTTTTTTCTAAGAGTGTATTCTAAAACGCTCTAAATAAGAACGCAGAATAACCAATTTCAAAGCAATAATCGCGCCCTGCATGTTGTAAGCTCCCAGTGACTATGCGCCGCGAAAGTAATAGAGAGGAGGAGATGAGAGCACGCTCTAGGACATCAGAGCGCCGAGCTCTGGTTAAAACGATTGGTCGGGAGACCTTAAGCGAGCTGCCTTTGTCTCCACTGCACTTGTAGCATGCGTTCCAACGCGAAAGTCAAATGCCGGACGCCGGCGTTCCACGTTCTAATAGGCCTGTTGTTTTCGGCCAGGGGGCGCAATAGCGCTCAGAAAAGGCTACCACAAAAGAGGCGCCTCCGCTAGCGTCCGCGAAACGCGACCATTTAATGCTGACGTGAAGTGGCGTCCCAGCGTCCTATCATGCACCTTCCCAGGGCGTAAACTAGCGTCTCTGAGCGTCGTGGCTGGGCGTCTGCTCATTGTTCACGTGCACTGACAGAGCATTTGAGAGGATGCAACGGTACGCACGGCGGAAACGCGATCTAGAAATATCTTATATTGCTCGCCCGGGACACTATTCAAAACTTGAGAGCTACGGGTCTATTCGGCGAGCGCAGCGGAGCAAAAGGCAGCTATACACCATTCCATTTAGCGCTCTCTGGGCGGCACCATTTTGTTCGACCGCAGCGCCCTCTCCACACATCCGGGAAGTTCAGCGGGTTCGGCGGGGTAAAACGAGAGAGAGGGCACGCGCCCGACTCCGCTAGCACACGACAAACCGGGAGGTTGCCGTTCTCCATCTTTGGGCTGTATTGGCGGGCTCTACCGAACATCGAACTCTCGCTCGTGGCTGCCGTTGTAAAGTGGTTCGCGTTCTTAGAATAGTTGTGGCTACTCCAAAATCGGCCAATAGCTCTCTGTTGTTTTATTTTGCTAAATGATCAACTAGCATATATTTTTTCCGTTACCTAAATAGCAGTTGAGTCAGCCAGCAGTACTACCCTCAACTACTGCTTGTATTGCGGCAGGAGAGCATGTTTTATTTCTTATTTCAGATTTCCACTCATGGTCGCTAAAGGCCTACACCAGTACGAAAGTTTGTATAGTAAAAAATGTACAGTAACCGGATTTACTTTTCGCCAAAGAGACCGGCCAATCTGACACAGTTTTCCCTACTTTTTTTTTATTATTATTTGCACGCAGGTAACAGCGCAATTGGACCCTGTGAGTCTTTTTATCTAGCATAATATTACACAACTGGCATACCAAAATCTGCGCATCTGCGCTTGAAAGTTTCAAAATGACGCGATTTTAAACAGAGTTTGCACGCCAGCCGGACGCTAGCTAGAGCCCACTCGGCGGAGCGGACGAGATGAGGGGTGAGACGGGGAGTGCATTTTTTTTTTCTTCTACCATCTCTGCTATGACCCTAATGGAACGGTCTATACCTTGTTTCAACTTACGTCCAGACGCAGCCGAAACTACAAGCTGATGGGACCAATCTGACAGCGTCAAAGGCGCACCATCGATTTGTTCGTTATGTTTCTGCATGTGTTTTATTATCACTGAACCAATCGTAAACAGAAAAAGGCCAGTGACTTGCGCTTTCGACGGTGCTTGATTAGTCCCATTACCTGGTTGAGTCGGCTGTCTCTGGACCTAAGCTGAAACAAATCTTCAGGTATCCCCCCAATCCTTCCTACCAGAACTCTGCGTTTTGATGTCTCCGCGCTCTCTCTTCTCCTCCCCTCCCTTAGTTTGTTGTTGCATAGACACATTAGATGACAGAGCGCCATCAATCGCAAGGAAAGGCAACCAATCCTAGACACCATCCTGAAGGACACCGCGTCGCTCATGCCAGTCTCCACACGTTTCAATGTTGCAATACACATTACAATACCGTGGCGTTTTGTTGAGTATTGTTAAAGAGAGAGTGGTTTAGCTTCCAGAACTAGTGAAAGAACTAAATAGGTGCAATTCTGCCGTGATGACCTAACCAAAATCCGCGAGATTTGAGGTGGCGACTCAACGTTCGACGTGGCGAGGTCCATTTCACGCGGAGCTTTGCATGTGTGCGAAAAAACTACCGATACAGTTTCTATTGTTAATCATATTACGAGTGCGGCTACGTTTTCTTTCCTTTATACGGCTTTACTTGCATCGTTAGGTGCGTTCCAAGACGCGGAGTATAGGTAACAACTGTGGTTTGACAAGCTCCTCTCACAAATGGAAACCGCTAATTAATCATAGCGTTTAAACACCTTAATACAATTCCAAATGACCTTATCACAATATTTATATAGTTAATGCTTGTACCAATTGTTTCCCATCAATTAGTCGTTTTAGCAACATCGTTCACAAATTCGTTTGAAGTTTATTACACGACTTTTTGAAAATACGTTTACGTATCAACGAGGATAGAGGGGCTTGTTGCGATACACTGGGGTTCCAGGCCGCGCACAGAAATGACCCGCCCCCCTCTCCCGCCCCTTAGGCCACCGCCATTACACCCAAATCTGACTACTCGTCAATTTGTCCTAACCAAATACGCGTCGTCACAGGCAAGATGGCAGCGCCCAGGCAGTGGTGACTCCGGCTGTGACAGAGCTTGTCGTATGCGTTGTTGGCTGTCGTTGATCCGAGTGAGTTGCTTTCAGATGTGGGTGCCATGATCTAAAGGCGATCCAAAGGAATTTTAGAGTTCAGTGTGGGAAATACGGAGGAACAGAATTTTCAGTGCAAATTTCGTTGGCGATCAGCGGGGATATATCCACGAAAGACACATAAACGGCACTGCTTTGCTCGGACCTCGGATGTATCCGAATATCGCTAGGATAAAAATTACCGCGATGTTTTTCCGTTCTCGTTCGCCATCAGAACTTTTGAGGTCTGCAGTGAAGTGGGTGCGATGTATTTGTATACATAATTTATCTACATAAATTGCGTAAGTCATGCTTGGCAGTGTGCGGTCGTGGTGTGGCTTTGTCCAAATCACCGGAGGCTAACTTTGGTGGCGTGCTGCGCCGGCGCTGCTTTCTAAATTGTTCTGGCATAGATGTGCACTTCCACGAAGCACAGCCGTTGCAGTTCAATGCCAGAAAAGTGGTGCCACATCCACTTCCATTCGGTTGGGCCACGGCAGCTGTCGAAACACCGAAAGAGAGGACTCAATCGGACAGCTTACTGCTAAAGCTATGTAGCTTTTTAGTGGTCTGGATAAGGGTGATTTCATATAAGATCGACCAAAGGGTGGCTGGTCGACATTTTTAAATCAACTGATGTTTTTATATGACATTGTCTAGTGTCTGGTATGAACGAATCCAAACTTAGTTTTGACTAGAAAAAATACTTGGGGACAGGAAAAATCGTAAGGCATGAGGTGGTGGACAGTTGCATTAACGCGCACTGATGGAGGGGGCCCGTTTGAGAGTGAATAACTAAAGCGATAACATTAGGAGAACTCTAATACGTTTTAGGCGCAAACTATGGGTATAGCTTGCTTGTAATATAAAGTAATCATATTTATTTAAAATTTATTTATTTTTCTAAAAATTGACAAACATGCCTGCTCGAACGACAAATGGCAAACTTTGGAGGTCTGTATCTCATGAAATAATTTAATCATTATGATATAATTTGCAGATATTATTCTACTAATATATAGCTAATATTTAAAAAATAACTAAGGTATCTGTGTGATACAATAGTTAGGATATATTTAGTCAA